AGCGCAGCGAGTCAGTGAGCGAGGAAGCGGAAGAGCGCCCAATACGCAAACCGCCTCTCCCCGCGCGTTGGCCGATTCATTAATGCAGCTGGCACGACAGGTTTCCCGACTGGAAAGCGGGCAGTGAGCGCAACGCAATTAATGTGAGTTAGCTCACTCATTAGGCACCCCAGGCTTTACACTTTATGCTTCCGGCTCGTATGTTGTGTGGAATTGTGAGCGGATAACAATTTCACACAGGAAACAGCTATGACATGATTACGAATTCGAGCTCGGTACCCGAAAGTTCAGCCAGTGAAAATGGACGAATTTGTTTCGGAAAGAAACCGAAAAATGCACGCGAATTGTCGTCAAATTGCGCGCATTGTCTGCAAACACAAAAAGTTCCGGGTAGCAAGCGGGTACGGGTACGGGCGGGTACGGCTAGCTGCGGGTACGGGCGGGTATATCGCTACCCGCATGGAAACCCTAGTCCCCATCGTTCCCAAATTCCACTTTTGTGCTAAAATTTGAAGGAATTTGTAACTCAGAAAGATTCTAATTTTCTGATGAGCTTCAGATGCTTGAGGGCGTAACTTGAATACTCCACAAGGGACATTGAGGTGTTGTTGTATGAAACATATGACATGGGAAACTGTTTTTGTGGAGGGAGTACAGCCTCCAATTGTAAAAATCTCAGGATTATGCTTGAAAATTACTCACTAAAGCTTTTAGGTGACAATAATTATGTGATTTTTGGGAAGCAGTTCAATTAATCATCGTTTAGAATATTTTGAACTAGTTTCCAAAATGTTATTATCAGAATCTTGGAATAGTTCCACTGTTTCACAAAGGTGTCAACATTATTGTCGTTTACAAACTTTAGTGCTTGGCAGGAACCAGTATTCAATTTCCCATCCCATAGAGTCAGATGGACACATAGAGTTAGAATCGAAGTAAACTATTAAATGCAATTATTCCAAGATTCCAACATTCAAACATAACGGGATCACGAGGTTCGTATCCAGTCTATCCTCTCTTCGCATGAACAGTTTCCCATACGCCATACCATAACAACTTACTAACTCCTTCACTCCTCATGCCAGCTCCTTCACATCGGTATCTCATTCCCAGAATCCTTTATTGACTTTGACCCACCTGGAATTGTTACTAGGTGTTACTCATCCCCAAATCATTTATTCGACTCGTCTGTTCTCCTACCGAACGGTCGTGTTTTCTCTTCTCTCTCAAACTCTACAATCATGTATTCTGTTGTCTTCGTCACCGAAAATATTTTTCGATGGGGTCCATGGCTCTTCGTCGGCGGTGCTGTAACCGTGTTCGTTGGCTATTTGACAGTGGTAAGTCATTTTTGCATTTGTTTTAATCCAAATTAATATATTTTTCAGCAACTCCAGAATCTCAAAAAGATTGCTTCGCAAAACCAGGAGATTCTGAAAATGCTCACGAAGGATCAAAATTCAGAGCATGAGCAATCTACAATGATCCAAACGGCAAACCAAGGGTTCGTGGAAGATGAATATTCAGAGCAATCTTCCGAGTACCAGATTCCAGAATTCATTGATTCGGATTTGGAATCGGAATGCGATTCGTTGCGAACTGGGTCCTCAGGTTACAATACCGATCCAGAAATTGATTACGATTGGGAATACTGTAAGTTAAAAAAAAACAACCACCACTTTGAATAACGCATTTACAGTCAAGATCATGAATGCACCGACTGGACCAGTTCCATCCGATCAAGTCATTCTTTGTTTCACATGCAAAATCTCTGGATGCTATCTCAAAGCAATTGTCGATGAAGATCATACTGTAGTTCACATGATGACTTATGAAAACACTTTGGACAACAAATGGGAATGGAAGGATACGACCTGTATCACTTGTATTCAAAAGGTCCGAGAGATTTTGGCTGATGGAGGGTGCCCAATACCATTTGCAATCGATTTGATGAATGAGACGATGGATTATGCTTTCTGGGGAGCCGTGAAGGAAGAATCCGAAGAAGAGGCCAATGAAGAAGAAGTCATCAAGAAGCCAATTCAACCACTCTCCGACTTCGAAGGATTTTTATTCAGCGAACCAGAGTATGAGTACGATTACGAAACGGTTCTCATCGAGTAGTGTTTTTTATTCACGATTCTCCTCTAATTTCTTTCAACTCTTCCTACCACGAATCTTTCTCTTCTGGGTCATTTCTTATCAAAACATGTATCAATTTCTCTCATTCTTAAATTTTTTTTCTGTCGTTCTGTATTTTTTTAAATATTATAAGATTTCTTAAAATCAAACTCTGCTCTAAAGGGTACCACTACAAACTACAGTTTACGAAACTAACTTGAGCCGGTAAATTGAGTTCTCATTTTCCGAGTTCTCATCCCTGGTACCACCCTAACTATCCAGTTGATACCAACGTTCACTGTTGACTTTTTCTATTTGGATATTCGAAAAGAATGCCACACATAAAATATGCAAATACAATCAAATTCAATCGATGACTAGTTTTTTGAACATTTGATTAAAAAATACGAATGGAATGGTTAGCTCTATAGTTGTCCATCATCTCACAAAACCAGCATTTTCATTGCTTTTTTGTATGCTATTTTCTGTACCGTATTCTGAAGGATTGTGGAAACGTTATTAGAATCTGAAACTCTGATTTCCGTGTTACCGTTGTTTCTTATTTTGTTTAAAGTGGTTGAAGAAAGTTAATAATTTTTTCCAGATTGAAAATTTTCTAAAATATCAGAGCGATCAAAAATTGAAGACTATACTTTTAAACAATTTGCAGTGAACCACTAATTTTCAAGGCTCTAGAATTTAAGAAGTTCTGGAAAATTCGGAGAAAATCTCATTGTTAACCAACTAAAGGACTTTGTGAACATTGTGAAGATGGTGAAACTGTGAATTTCGAAACTTTTTATTCGAAAAAGTGAATTATTGAAAAAGCCAGACCATTTCATGTTCCTGAGATATGTATCCGAAATTCCCTGGTTTCCAATCCCAAGGTTCAAAAGTATAATGGGTTCCAGATACCGCAAGCACTCTAAAAGGAATATTCTAACCCTTGTTTTCTGCTTTGAGGCAATTTATCTCGGCTCCTGTGAAATATATGCAAAAGTTGTCAAGTGATAAATTGTTTATCATATTGTCACAAACATTTCATCAATTAACCCATTTTTGATATCTTGCATATAGGAATTGAGATAACTGAGCTCAAACTTGACATTGTGGGAGCCTTACAGGTTTAACAGTTTTTGTTCAAAATGCTTTGTAGCAATAATAGTGTTGTGAAACTCTTTTTTTATAAATAATTCTTCAGAAACATCAAATATTTTTTCTTTGAGCCATGAGCCAAAAAACAGCAAACTCCAGCGGCTCGGAGTCTCCCGATAATTGGGCGTGGCCGTCTTTAATCCGCCACAAATATCTAAAAGATCCCCAGAATATCCCATTTTTTCTTTCCAAATTTTCCAATATCATCACGTCAAATCATATCAAAATGCAGATTCCCTTCTTTCCTCATTCTTCTCTTCTGTTCACTGATTAAAAAGTGAAAGATTTTTGGAATAGAGAAACAAGGTGGATATCATTATTCAGCCACCGTATGAAATGTTTTACGAAGTACAGGAAACTGTTCGCTTCTTGTCTTCGTTCATGTACGGAAAAATTCCGCGGAGGTGAGCTCTTTTTAAAGGTGGGGGGACAGGAGATTTTTCGTAGTTTTTTTGTAGCTAGAGTATGCATTCTACCGTCACGGTGTACAACGCTTAATGTCACTCTGCGTACAGCTGTCGTCCTCGCCTTTATGTATGCCATCGGGCGTGCGCTTTCTCTTTACCCGCGTGGCTCAGTCAGTAGCGGCGCCGCACCCTCTTCTTCGCCCTCACAAGTTCAACTCCTCATCTTTGAACGGAATTTCGAGAACATTATTTTTTTTCATGTCCCCCTTTAAGTTTGAAAATCAAAATTTAGGAACTTTTTGTTTTAAAAAATGAAATGAATTCCAGCCGAGTCAAGTCATTTTGCGGCCATTTGTCATGCCTGCTCATCGAGGCGATTGACGAGAAACAAGCTGTCGAACGGTTCGATTTGATTGTTTTTGCCGATGGACAGTCCGATGAGACCATTGTTCAGGTGGATTTATATATTTTTTGATTTACTGTAAAAACTGCCCCTCCCCCACGGTGTCAAGTTTGACCTAATTTATCTTGGTTCCTATGCAAGTTATGTCTACTAATAAAATGTTAGTGATATTATGATAAACAATTTATCAGTCGACAACTATTTAATACCTTTACAGGAACCGAGTTAAAACGGCTCATCCGGGTAGCAAGCGGGCGGGTAGCTGGCGGGTAGCACTCGGCTGTTGCCCGCAACTTTTGGGCTGGATTAAAGCGGCTTCTGAGCTGCGTCATGGTGGATGTTTAGTTTTCTGTAGAAGCCGCCCAGCGACCGCCCAAAAGACGCCAAACCTACGCGCAAGTTATGCGTCGCTCACACGAAATCGGACCGTAGGCTCTAAAAAAATCTGAAAATTCTGTCCAAATCAATTTGGTAAATAGGATTTATTTTTTAAAAATCCAATAGCGGACAGAAGAAAAAAATAATGAAGCGAACAACAAAAAAGAAAAAACAATGATTGTGTGTTAGATGAAAGTTGAATCATGATGTGAAGTCGTCACTTGTAGTCTTCACTAGGCAGCAGTAGTCACTTTGGTGCTCTGAAAAAAATGCAAAAGTAATTGTATTGATTATATTGTTGCTTACAATCCAATGAGTCTGCCGGCTCAAAGTCGTCTGGATTTTTGTTTTCAGCACGACACTTTTCTCTGAATATTTTGACGTCTTTCCATGATAGATGGTTTTCACAGGTTTTTCGGTTCTGAAGTTGAAGTCATTTTATAAGCAAAGCAGCAGTCAAAACAAACCTTACAACTCTCCAGTGAACCGGTACGAATATCAAGATGATAATCTCGAATGTAGTTCCTAAAAACAAAGTTCGTATAAATTTGGTTAATATATTAAACTGACAGCATGTGACCAATCGCTGATTGCATAGTCTGTGAGACTAATTCACGCTCGGATTGACGCGATGAAACATACAGTATCTGATAAACCTGAAATTAGTTCTGTCAAATTGTTTAGGAAAACAGGAAGTCACCAGAAATTTTCTTCGCTTTCGAAGAATTTCCATCTGATTTAGTTGTTTTTTGGCTTCCTAGAAAATATAGACGATTACATTTTATTAATTTTTTCAAAACCTCTGTCATTCTCGTCTTCCGATTCATCACTCCATAATGCCCAATTGTCACTTGCATCATTTTCTTGTTCGAAATCTTTTTGAGCGTAGTTCTGATGATGTTCAGATGAATTACAATCTGCAAGTTTCACATTTTTTTGAATCACATTACTATGTTTTTACCTTTTTGTGTACTTTGGATTCCAGGATCAATTTTTTGCTGTCCGAATGCGTGTTGCCAACTTCCTTCTAGAAATCATCCTAAATACGTTTACAAAAATCTTTATCTTACGAAGTTGCCTCCTCGACCTGGAATTCGGCACTCTGTCAAATCCATTCATCTTTTTTCAGATGTCCTGACTTTAATTTCCAGATCCTGCCTTCAAAACCAATTTCTGAAGATTCTATATTCGCAATCGAGTTTTTAATACTATTACCTAAAAACTTTTTTATTTTTAGAACAGAAACGACAAAGAAAATGAGATAAATTACAGTAAAATAGGAAAAAAAACGGAAAAATATTTTATTTCGAAAAGAAATTCTGATGCACGCAACGCGAGGCACGCGTCGCCTTTAAATTTCTCCCAAACATCGCCCAAGATTCGCCAAGGTGGTGGTGGACGGCGCAGTTGCCACAGGTCTAGGAGCTTCCGGTTAAAAGCCGCCCGAATAACGCTCTAAAGCCGCCGCCACCCTTCTTTTCGCCCTAAAGTTGCAGGCCACAACCGAGCAGCTACCCGTTCGCTACCCGCCCGTCATGGAAAGCCTAATGGGGACGTATTGGTTATTGGTGAAGACGATGAACCTTGAGACGATTCTGAAACAGTAAAGTTCGAAAATTATAAATTTTCCGAATATATTCAAACGTTAAACTGTTTCAGAGTTGTTTCAAGGCCCATTGTCTAGACCAATATCTTACTGGTATCTTACTAGAATCTGCAATCTCATACTATAAAAAATAATTTTACAGAATCATATCACAAAAAATATGTCTTCACATAAACAGTTTCCCTTGCCATGACAGAAACTTACTAACTCCTTCACTACTCATGCCAGCTCCTTCACATCGGCATCTCATTCCCAGAATCCCTTATTGACCTTGGCCCACCTGGAAAAGTTACTAGGTGTTAATCATGCCCAAATCATTCATTCGACTCGGCGGTTCTACTACCGAACGGTCGTATTTTTATTCTCTCCCAACTTCTACAATCATGAATCCTGTTGTCTTCGTCACCGATAATATTTTTCGATGGGGTCCATGGCTCTTCGTCGGCGGTGCTGTAACCGTGTTCGTTGGCTATTTGACAGTGGTAAGTCATTTTTGCATTTGTTTTAATCCAAATTAATATATTTTTCAGCAACTCCAGAATCTCAAAAAGATTGCTTCGCAAAACCAGGAGATTCTGAAAATGCTCACGAAGGATCAAAATTCAGAGCATGAGCAATCTACAATGATCCAAACGGCAAACCAAGGGTTCGTGGAAGATGAATATTCAGAGCAATCTTCCGAGTACCAGATTCCAGAATTCATTGATTCGGATTTGGAATCGGAATGCGATTCGTTGCGAACTGGGTCCTCAGGTTACAATACCGATCCAGAAATTGACTACGATTGGGAATACTGTAAGTTAAAAAAAAACAACCACCACTTTGAATAACGCATTTACAGTCAAGATCATGAATGCACCGACTGGACCAGTTCCATCCGACCAGGTGCTTCTTTGTTTCACATGCAAATTCTCTGGATACTATCTCAAAGCAGTTGTCGATGAGGATCATACTGTAGTTCACATTATGACTTATGAAAAGATTTCGGACAACCAATGGGAATGGAAAGATACCACATGTGACACTTGTATTCAAAAGGTCCGAGAGGTTTTGGCTGATGGAGGGTGTCCGATCCCATTTGCAATCGAGTTGATGGATGAGACTATCGCTTATGATGTCGTGAAAGAAGTATCTGAAGAAGAAGATGCGAATGAAGAAGACGTCATCGAGAAACCAAGTCAACCATGTTCCGATCTCGAAGGATTTTTATTTAGCGAACAAGAGTATGAGTATGATTACGAAGCAATTCTCATCGAGTAGTATTTTTGATTCGTGAATCTCTTTCTAATTTTTTTTTTCAATCCGTCATATTCCTATCAATAATCCTTTGCTTCTGTGTCATTTTTCCCAAACCTGTAACAATTTCTCCCCTTCTTAAATTGTTATTTTCTGTCGTTCTGTTTTTGTTTCTTCAAATATAAAGTTCCATGAAATTCAACTATGTTCTAAAATGTACTTCTACAAACAACAGTACCCAGAGCTAAACATCCGCTCAGACAAGAATAAAGTTCCCGCCGGAGTGTTAAACGAAGTTCCTGCCGCAGGGCAGCGGCAGGAACTTTTTTTTTTTAGCTTGCCGGCATGAACTTTCCCGTCGGCAGATAAATCCCCTTTACTCATCCTCCTTTTTTCAGTACATTTTCACAAACAAAACAACATGTAAATTCAGTTGAATTTATTAAAAATGATACTTTCTATGTCTACAAATACGGAAAGCTATAGTTAAATATAATCAAAAAACATAAATTGGGCATAAATTAGTATCATAAATATCAAAAAATAGGAAAAGGGATGTGACATAAATTGCGGGAATTATTTGTCAGCATCAAATTTTGGCATTCCGAGCCAAAGAATCGAATTTTTGGATCGTCTTTCATATGTTCCGAATGATTTGAGGAGCGTAGAAGACGATGAAGACGAATTCTGAAATATTAGGAATATTAGATTTTGCAAGCGAATAAAAGGAACTCACAGTCATCGATGATTCATTTTGTCGCTGGTGGTTGTCCTAACTTAGAATGATCGGCTCCAGCTCTGGACTATCTCCTGAAAAAAACTAGACAAATTAAAAAAAAGGTCATCATTTTATTAGAAATTTTGCCATTCGAGCATGTATACTGTCCCCGACCAAACGAAATTGTATACATCTTGAACAAGAATAAGAAATAAAAACAGTTACATCCACTTTTTACTATGAAATGAAAAGAACGACGAAGAAAACGAAGAAAATGAAAAAAAAAATCCAGCCGCGCGGAGCGTTGTTTAACCTGCTGGCAGGATCTTTTCCTTCTAGCCTGCCGGCAGCAGCTTTTTTGATGATGCAATCGTCATTTTACCTGCCGGATATAACTTTGAACACAATAGTTCCTGCCGGCGGCAATCTTAACCCCCCGGCAGGAACTTCATTTCTTGTCTGGTTGATACCAAAGTTCACTGTTGACTTTTTCCATGTCTTTTTCCATATTTGCATACTTGTAACGGGCCGGGCCGGGCTTTTTCCGGAATTTCGGAGGCCCGGCGGGCCCGTCATTTCATTAGTTTCGAAATTTTCAAAAAACACATAAGGGGGGACCCTTATGTGATTTTTTTCGACCAAAAAAGTTTTTTTCGAGTTTTTCGATCTTTTTTGATCAGACATACAAACAATCCGAAATACGAAAAAGAAAAATGGAAAAAATTACATTGAGAGCTCAAAATTTGGCTCAAAAATGCAGAATTTTTGACACCGGGCCTTACGGGCCGGGCCCGGGCCTTGAAAATTTCTTCAGGCCCGGCCCGGGCCCGGGCTTTGGCGGGCCGGCCCGGAATTTTACAAGTATGCATATTTGAATATTGGAAAAAAAAATGCCACACATAAAATATGCATATAGAATCAAATTCAATCATTCACTAGTTTTTTGATCATTTGATAAAAAATACGAATGCAATGATTAGCTCTCTAGTTGTTCATCATCTCACAAAACCTTCATTCTTATTGCTTCTTTGTATGTTACCGTATTCTGAGAAGGTTCTGGGAATTTTATTGGAATCTGAAACTCCCCTGTTTTTCGTCCTAATTTTGTTTCTGTTTTTGTTTAAAGTTTGTGAAGTGAGTTTATATTTTAATTTTGTAATTTTCCAGATTGAAATATCGCTAAATTTCAGAGCGATCAAAAATTGAAAGTTCTATATCAAGAAAAAGAGGAACTTCTTAGAATTTTATGGGAAAATGATAAAGAAAAGTCTAAAGTTGATTCAGAGGATTCAGAAGAAGATGATTCTGATTACCAGCTTCCTTATGTTTCCGATTCTGAAGGTAAAAAATCGTAAAACCTGTAATAGAAGGCTCTGGCATGTTTGAGCCAATTAAGCTTTGCTCCTATAATAGATATCAACAAATAGTCAACTGATAAAATATTGGTGATATCATGATAAATAATTTATCAGTTGACAGATTTTTGATATCTCTTACAGGAGCCGAGATAATTCAGCTCAAACTTGGTAGTAACGGGCCCTTCTATTACAGGTTTTACGGTAAAATTAAAATTAAATATTTTAAAGGTGGGGGGACATGAAAAAAATATGTTCTCGAAATTTCGTTCAAAGATGCCCCTCGAGGAGTTGAACTTGTGAGGGTGAGGATTGAGGGTGCGGCGCCGCTACCGACTGAGCCACGCGGGCAAAGAGAAAGCGCACGCCCGATTCCATACATAAAGGCCAGGACGACCGCTGTACGCATAGTGACATTAAACGTTGTACACCGTGACGGTAGAATGCGTACTCTAGCTACAAAAAAACTACGAAAAATCTCCTGTCCCCCCACCTTTAAAGGAGGCCAGACACCAAACAAAAAGTTTTCCTGATATTTTGTATAGAGAACCCCCATGAGGGGTTGAACTCATGACAGGCAGCTTAGGGGTACAGCGCTGCTACCGGCTGAGCTACGGGGGCGCGAAGGCGCTTAACGACCGATTGTCTACATAAGCGCGGCGCGATTTCGTCCCCCGAACTGTCCCACGAAATTTTTGCTGTCTCGCCTCCTTTAAAATCGAAATTCGATTATAAAGTGCATGTGCATTCTGCTTTCAACGAAGTTCAGGAAAATTCGTTATTGAAACAAAAAGCTGAAAACAGTAATTTTTATAGTTATTTTTTTTAATTCCAAAAAAGTAACACAACGAAACATTGTATGTCATTGGAATTCTTCAGAGGAAGACGAATCTGGATACAACACCGACCCAGACAGAGAATGGGAATTATGTGAGTCTTTCCAGAATTTCCATTTATTCTGAATCTAAATTTCCAGACAAAATCTATCATGCTCCTGCCGGGCCTGTCCCTCTAGATAAGATCTATTTGACATTCACCTGTCAGTTCACTGATCTCTATGTGAAAGCTGTGGTGGATGCGGATCATTCTCTTATTTATATTCTATCGTACGATAGAAATGAAAATAATCAATGGGAATGGATGGAAACAAAATGCTTGAGTTGTATTGAAAAAGTTCGGAGAGTTCTGGCTGATGGAGGATGCACTGTTCCGTTTGCAATGGACGCACCAGACGTCATGGAGTCGGAATCCGACGATGATGATGTGATTTCGGTCATCGAGATGCCTATTGGACCTCGTCTTGTTGTCTGAAGACATATGAAAACTGAGAAATCCATCTTACATGATGGAGACATTCTTTTTGTTAAATAATTTCAAACAATGTATTTGTACAATTTATATGCCTTCGTATAAGTTTATTCGATAAAAAAATTAGTTCCAATATAATCTCATTTCAACAGGTTCAGGTGGAGGAATTCCTCGTGTTGCTGAAAAATCAAATGTGCTAATTTATAGAACCAGTCGATTTCCGTCGCCTATCGGCGGCTACAATCTCCTGGCTTCACTAAAAACGTTTGAAACTCCGAATCGGAGAGAATCAGAAGAGGAAGTTTTAGTTGATTGTGTTGTCAACTTTCATAAACTGGAGTGACAGTCTGCTTATGCGCCTTCGGGGCTAAACCTTCTGGCTCCCGCTTACAACAGCCTTAACCGATTGAGTTTGGGCTTGGACAGATAAATCAGAAATGTGTCTTACATTAGTTGAGACACGAACTGTTCAAAATTTCCAAATTTTTAGAACTAATAATTTTCCTGAATTCCCAAATATCTTGAAATTTGACAACTTATAATTCTTTCAGAAGTTTCGAAATTCAGGAGTCCTGAATTTTCGGAACTGCGATTCTAGGACTCAAAGATTTTTCTATTAAAAAACTTCATTTCAGAACTCATAATTTCTGAAATTTCGTATTTTTGAGTTTCCGTATTTCCGACTTTCTGAGATTCTACTTCACAAATTCCCAAAATTAAAAATTTTAACACAAATCAGATTTTCAGAATTTTCTCTAAAACACATTTCTGAGTTTTTGATTCACAAAGTTTATGAATTTCCGAAGTTTCTTAATTCCGAACTTGGGCTTTCTGATATTCTGAACTTCTGAGTTTCTGGTTTTTCTGGTTTTTTGCTTTCGAGATTTTGGATTTTCAAAATTTCGAGTGTTCTAACTTTCAAATTGTTTAATTTCGTAATATTCCGAATATCTGAATTTTTATACTTCTGGATTTCCGAAACATTGGACATTTGAATTCTCTGATTTTCAAACTTCAAATCTCGGTGTTTTCGAGTTCCCGTTTTTCCAATTTTCCGAATTTCTGAATTAGAATTTTAGAATTTCAGAGTGAAACCAAAATGTTTGAAGCATAGAAAGGTTAGAAATTTCGCAAAAAAATAATCAAATTTCGTGAATCAGAATCTCCGAAATTCAGTTTTTGAGAAGTTAGGGGATTCAGAAAGTCAGAATTTTAAAGTGTCCTGAACTTTTTCTTTCTCTCTTCTTTCAAAACTAAGACTAAATAATTATTTTCACGAAATCACCTTTTTATCAGATATAGTGTGGATAAGAAAAAAAATAGAGGGGTTGGACGGAAGTGACGTGAAAATAATTTTCTAAAGAGTTGCACTGTAGGAATGGAGTAACGTCTCCAGATGACGTCCGAAACAAAATTTCAAAATGAAAAATAGACGGGCAACATCTCGCTGCTATTTCTGACCATCTGTGAAAATTTGAGAATTTTTGGTCTACTGGGGACTTCGCTAGGGTCGTGGAACCGGGAACAAACGGACACACAGACAGAATTTGGTGATTGTTAATAGTAAAGATTGAATTATAAAATTACAATAGTCAACACAAACGGTCATATTTCGTCCGATTTATGGCAGCTTTTATGGCATCACCCATCAGGAAGTTATATGAATATGCAATGGCTAAATAGCTGTGTTCAACACTCAACGATCAGGAATCGTTGAGAACAAAGGAACTTTATTAAGTATTAACTTTTAATAAATATTTATTCCCGTTTTCAAACGTCCCAGAGCTCATTTCGGCTCAAGTGCTTGATCAAGTTTGAGTTCAAGGTTCAGTGAATAAGAAAACTACAGTAATCTTTAAAGGCGCAGCTTGGAGTTTACCTTCTGTATCTCGACCCGACGGCACACAGAGAGAAAACGGTTTTGTTATTCGCATTTTTTTCTGTTTTTTTCAGTGAATTTCAATTTTTAACAAAAGAACTGAAACATTTGAGTTTTACATATGACTTGCGACGAGTGGAACAAGTTTATTCAAGTAAACATTTATGGACACACGCTTCAAGGGCTACAACAACAAGGAGTGGCTCTCGAAGCCGTTTTGGTAAATTAAACCAATTTAATTAGTGTTTTGTTCGAATTTTTAGAACGATCTCGGCTGTTCAAAACTATGGATTGTGGAAGGATCAATGTACAAAGGAGAATCATTTGATAATTCCACTATTGAGTCCGGAATCCGATATCACTGTCCCAGTGCTTAGCACAACTTTCGCCGATGTGAAATGTCCACGCTTCTCGACTCCGGCGGTTTCGCAAAACGATTTGCAGCGAAAATTCACATTGAATTTGCCTGTAAAGTTATCGGAGATCAATTCCAGTTTTGAGGATGACGGTTTACTGGATGATAGAGAAGAAAATGATGGTGTTGTTGTACAATTGCTCAGCGAGCTCGTGGAAAAAGCAACGGAGGAATTTAAAGAATCCTTTGTTCCCGCGAATCCTTTGTTCAGCACCACAATCGTCAAAACTGATCTACATCGATTCTCGACTCCGATTGTCCCTGATTTCAATTCAGGCGCCCATTTCACTCTCAACATGCCAGATATTCTCTCCGAAATCGAATCAAGCGATGAAGACGAGCCTTTCCTAGAAGAACCTGCTCAGTTTTGCGCTCCAATTCTTCGTTCTCGCACGAAATCTATGTTGCCGGCACCACCACAGTCACAGAAGACGTGCCGAAAACGAAATTCAGCGAATCCCAAGTTAGCGCACACCTCAACAACCGCTCCGAAACAGCGAAAAGTTCTGAAGAAGTCGGCATCAATGGTGTTGAATTCAAATAAGGTCGAGCTCAAACAGAAGAAAGTTTCGGTCATTCCAGTTATAAAAACGGAAAATTCTGAGGAATTCCCATCGATGACCGAATTCTTGAGTGCTTCTGAAGCAACCTATACATCGGCGAATACCGCTCCAAACGTAGGTTTTATGAGGGTCGTCGAATTCCGAGGAAAGTGGGCGGAGCCTGAACTTCAAGCTGCTCACGGTTTTGCCGCATGGTTTTTCTCAAGACCGTTTGCAAATGTGTAGTAAACTGCGCATCTTGCGATTCAAGCTCCGCCCAGTTTCCCGGGCTCCTGAATAACCCCATCATGATAATTTTCAGAATTCTCCGCCACCTCAAACACTGGTTCGCGAGCTGTCCGAGCTAGTTTATCATGATATGCAAGTGATGGAAAACGACGGTGACATGGAGAGCTGGCCAGTAGAACCAAATTGTAGTATACAATTCGTTTTATCTATGATCAATAATCGATTTTCCAGATCCGGAAGTTGATTTTGATGATTTTGGTGAAGCACGAGAGGAAGATACAGTGCTGATTGATCATCAGGAAGAGATTGGAAGATTGGAAGAGGAATCAGATGAGGAGACTGAGCAGAAGGACCCACCGGCGAATCAGGCTACGATAAAGAAAGTGTCGTTCGCGGAGCCTTTAATTCAAAGCGCTAAGAAGGCCGAAATGAATAAAATTCAAATTGTTAAGTGCCATTTCAAGGTTACCTTCTACCTGAAAGCGTTAAAAAGTCAATACTGCTTTCAGGACTGTAAGAAATCGTACACTTGGCGCAAAAAGTACGGAAAGGCGCGTCTAGTCGATCATGCTATCAGTCACGTCCCGGATCTTCTGATGAAGTGTGACCTTTGTGATTATACATGCAAAGGAATCCGTCAGATTCGCTATCATCACAAAAGAAGCCATCCTGATGTTCCATTTCAGAGGTTGGGTATCAAAAGGTACTATTTTCTACGCTGAAAGGAGTTGTGAACAGCCAATTTTATTAATTTTAGAGTAATGAGCACCTCGGAAAAAGATACGGATTTCGCCAAAGTTTGGGATATGTGCTATAAGAGTGGGTTCTTTAGAAATGTCTCTTTCGATCCAAATTCTATTTATTTCAGAAAATATAGCGTTTGCCGAAAATGGTGGAATGAGTCCGTTTGCTAGAAATGACAAAGGAATTAGCCGTCGAGTGGCTGCTCAAAGAAATAAAACAACTCAAAATCCCGATGATGAGGAAGAAGAAAAAGAGGAAGCGCAATTTTAGTAAGATTTCATGAAATTTCAGACACAATTTTTGATTTCAGCTTTTTCAGAATCCGCTGATTTCATCGCATGCCACCACATCTTGTATTATTTTAATGATCTTGTATCTTTTCGTTTTTTGCTTTATAATGAACATTGAATTTTTTGATTATCCGATGTCTTCGTTTCATGTGACATAGTTCTTTTTTATATTTCGAAATTTTTCTTTTTTTTTCAGATTTTTCAGAATTCCAAAATTTTGTATCAGATCGGCAGTTGGAAAATTTTAAACATTGTTTTCCCAGAAGAAACGCACCGCGCATGAAATTGATGCAGTACACCGCACGCCATATTGCGTACTTTTGACGACAGTAATCCGCATGAAAATAAATAAATGAACATTTTTTTGCTTTTCAAAATTGATTTTTCATCCCTCCTGACATGTATATCGATAAAGTCGATAAAATATGCTCGACAAAATAGTTTTTTTGATAAGAAGTCCTGTATAATTCCAGATGACTGAATGGAAAACGTATATTCAAGTGAATATTTACGGGCGAACACTTCAAGACTTGTACAACAAGGGAATTCATCTAGAATCTGTTTTAGTAAATAAATAAAAATTGAAAAATTGCTTCCGAAAAAAATGTTTCTTTAGAATGGAATGGGGTGTCAAAATCACTCGGTCGCCGAAATGCCGATGTGGATTGAAGAAGAGCAAATGCTCACTGATGAGCCTGTGATAAGTGATTGGAACGACCAAGGAATAGAAATCGATGCAGAAGAAGTGGCCAGGAATTTCGCTCAAATGATTGTGGATCCGATCCCACGCTGCTCAACTCCGATTCCGATGGAAGATGGGGATTTCGGATCAGAAGGATCCCTGAATTTGACTGGTGTCGTTTCCCATATCAATTCTGATGATGATAATGAAGGGGAGAATATGCTCGATGTCTCTGGGCTCCCACCGAATTTCTCGTCGGATGAGGAAACACCAAAGCAAGAATCATTCCTAATTATTCGATCGACAACACCAGATCCAAACGATTCGTTGTTTCAAAGCGGACCTCTTGTGATAAGACCAAAAGTGTCTGATAATAATAACAATGATAATTGGTCTGAAAAATCGTCAGATGAATCTTCAGATTCCATGAAAACCAATGGAAAAACTGAAATCAAGGAAGAAGAATCTGATTACGACGATGATGACTGTGAAGTTGAAGTTGAACTTAAGCCAAATGTATGTGGCCGTGGCCGAAGGTCCCGCAACGACAACTACCGTAACCTACAAAAAATTTAGCCGTTTTTCGGAAAAAATCTTGTTTTTTATTCGTTTTTTTTCTCAAATTTTTAGACCTTTTCAGGTTTTTCAGCTATTTTTGAATATTCTTCTTCGATTTTTTCGTTAATTTTTTGTCTGAAGTTTGATGGAACGGTGTTTGATTACTGTAGATTACGGTAGAAAACCTTGTAGTTTGTAGTTATTTTTGCAAACAAAATCACGTCTTATCTGCATTTTGCCGGGATTTTGTTGGCAAAAAAAAACTACAAAAGAAAATGGGTTTTCTACAGTAGTCTACAGTAATCAAGACACCTTTCCAAATTTCAGGCAAAAAGCACTGGAAAAATCGAAAAAGAACCGTCAAAAATTGCTGAAAACCCTAAAAAGATCTTAAAAAATCGCGAAAAAATTGAGAAAAATCAATTTTTTCTTTTGAAATTTTCCACTTTTTACTGTCTCGGGATAGGTAGATTTCCCAAAAACTGAATAAAAAATACGTTTTTCTTTCGAAAAATCGCAAAATGTTTAGATTACGGTAGTTGTCAGTGTGAGACCTTCAGCCACGGACTTTCTCTTCCATAGCGTATTTTCTTCCGATTATGGAAGAGAAACCCGATTTTCCCGATTTTTGTACCATTTTAATATAACTTTTTCCAGACTTCTCAAAATTTCTTCCACTACGAAGATGGCAACTACACACCACACTACACTAAAAGATGTAAGAGTCGTATGCATCACGTGAAGGAGGATACATCATTTGAATCTCCATTTGAAGACTCGTGGAAGCAAGACCCACCGTCTTTCAGTCGGATTCCATCGAAATCAATTATGAAGAATCATGGTGATGATCAAAGAGGGGGTTTTCAAAAGAAGAAAGTGTCATTCAAAGTCAACGACCAGGTTTACAAGATTAATTGCAATTTTGAGGTGATTGGAGCTAACTATTATTCTGGTTTTAAAAATCGGAGCTGTGGGTCTCATAACGACAACTACAGTAACCTAAAAAAGTTTATTTCAAAAAAAATCGGAAATTGAACATTCGATAGTGAAAAAATTGATTTTTCCTCGATTTTTTCGCAAAATTTTTAGACCTTTTTAGGATTTTCAGCTATTTTAAAAGATTCTTTATCGATTTTTCCATACTTGTAAACGGGCCGGGCCGGGCTTTTTCCGGAATTTCGGAGGCCCGGCCCGGCGGGCCCGTCATTTCACTAGTTTCGAAATTTTCAAAAAACACAAGGGGGACCCTTATGTGATTTTTTTCGACCAAAAAATTTTTTTCGAGTTTTTCGATCTTTTTTGATCAGACAGACAAACAATCCGAAATACGAAAAAAAAATGGAAAAAATTATATTGAGAGCTCAAAATTTGGCTCAAAAACACAGAATTTTTGACACCGGGCCCGGGCCTTGAAAATTTCCTCAGGCCCGGCCCGGCCCGGGCCCGGGCCCGGAATTTTACAAGTATGGATTTTTCCGTTTTTTTTTGTCTGAAATTGGATGGAACGGGTGTTTGATTACTGTAGAAGCCTGATTTTTTCAAATTCATTGTGACGTGATTTTGTTTGCGAAAAAACTACAGAAGGAAATTATGTTTCTACAGTAATCTACAGTAATCAGACACCGTTCCATCAAATTTCAGAAAAAAATTCGAAGAAATCGAATGAGAATCTTCGAAAATTGCTGAAAACCCTAAAAAAGGTGTAAAAATGTTGCGAAAAATTGAAGAAAAAATCGATTTTGTTTTTAAATTTCGTGCAATTATCACTATCAAAACCTAAAATTTTCCGACTTTTTTATCTGAAAATTTGAATGAGGAAACATCAGTTGATGAAAGAAAAACAGGAAAGTGATCTCAGATTTTAGAGGAAAGAAGCATTTTCAATCAATCAAGCCCCTCTTCTCCTCAGTTCTCAGCCGCTTCTCAATCGCTTGATAGAGTCCGCCTAGCGTTTTGCTAGCCAACTGGGCCAAAGAGTGCACAAAACCATTTGGGGGAAAAAAGCATATGCAAAAAAATGTCACAAGAGCTAGACGCCATAAATTTAAAAAAAATAAAAAAATAAAACGAAATGTGAGTCAGGGTACTACATAAATATTTCGACGAAAACGAAAATTTGGACTTCTTACCTTTTCTTTTCAATGCAATATGTAAGAAATTATGTGAAGCGAGAAACTTTAAAAATGTGCTGATTAGCCAGACATTGAGTCTGTTGATTCCTTTCGCCCCGTAGAGGCTCAGTACGTGAAAGAGAATCTGTTTTTACCGGTAAAAACCCTGACAAAAAACCACTGGCATCAGCATATGGGGGTATCATAATACTCGCATCAGGACAAGGGGTACCATATCACTGGCATCAGGGCGTCTTGCGACCCTCTGGAAAACGAGGTGGGTGGGGAAGAAATGAAAAATGAAGAAACTGAGTTTCATCTTCACTTCCTTTGTATCTTAACTTAAGGGGCGGGGCTTAGCACACCTCCACTAATCCCGCCCCTTTTCTGAGCTTTTACAGACCCTAATACGTCATAAATTGATATGTGAAGGAGTAAAAGGCAATAAAACAGGTGTTAAATGAATTCACACCTCAGATTGTAAACGCCGCTGTTGTCATAAAAGAATAGATATGCTCTCATGGGAAACTATCAAGAGAACTTCAAATTCCAAGTCTATTGTCGAATTAAAAAAAAACTGGGACCTGAGAATTCGAAAACCATCGCTTCTTTTTGATCTACGAAAAAACGCGGCAAAAACGTAATATTTCAGACATTCGCCTCGTTCGAGCTACTTTCGCAATTAAGTTCGGTTTTTCGATGAAGAACAGATTTTAGAGATGCTAGCGATCATACCAAGAAATCTAAATTTTGTTCAGAATTCACAGAAATTAATTTGTTATTTACAGTATCCGTTTTCGGAGCGATGCCTCGTAAATCGACACGAGCGTTGCCCGCGAAAATTTTCAGGTCCCAGTTCGTTTAATTCGACAATAATAGCCCCCTTTCGAGATTTTTTCCGAAATTCAGATGAAAACCAGATAATTCTTCAAAGGGGGACTCCTAAAATTAAAATGTGTTAAAAGTTATCTATTTTCCGAATATTATTGCGAAAAAATTCAAAAAAATCCGAAATTCCCAAAAAACGCCGTTGAAAAGGAAGAAAATTCAAAAAAAGGTGCCGCCGGGGGACGAGGATTTTCAGTGAGAAACCTAGG